AAAATTTGATATAGTCACAGGTCTGTACTTGTGTAAGTGAGAGTGCAATATTTTGCAATCCTACAATAAACCTTTTCTTTCAAATTTATTAAATGTGTTTTACGTAGTTTTGTAAATCTTTCTTGTAGATAACTTTCCAATTTTAATACACCCCAAAAAATCTTAACTTCGTTCTTGACAGATATTCTTTTTCTGGAATCAAATTTTCCCGAAAAGTTTGTTAGCTAAGCTTCTTTGACAAACACAACTTAAATGTTAAATTTGAAGATATACTGCTAGTTTATCTACGAAACTTATTTACATTTCTGAGCTAATATCCAGCAACTAAGTACTTTACACAAAAAATCCATTCTCTATTAAATATTATTCTATAATTCTCTATTATTCCACTGAACATACTCTAATCAAACTATTCTCTGCACTTCATTCCTAAGTTCCCTTGCAAAAGATGTATTCAGTCTCAATCTGTGTAAATAACGTTTTTTAAGCCAGGCATACTTATTCTTTATTAAACATAAAGCTTATTAGTTCAAATACATTATAATCGATTCAAGCTATGTATATTAATGACGGAACAATACTTGTGCCATGTGAAATTCCGATATAAAATATTTCTTAACATCCATACAGGTGGTATATTGTATGTGCAGATGTATGTACATATATTATATTAAATTTATTTTAATAGTCAAATCATTTTATTTGGAAAGCGAAAACGTGACTTCTCTTTGTAATAATTTCGAAAAATAAGAAAATTTCAAAGAGATTAATTGCCCCGTATCTTAAAGCTATTCACATTTTCCCAGCATTTATTAAAAATTTTATATGTACTCGTATGTTTGTCCATATACCATACATAGATATATACAAATATACCTATTGTAACTACCTTCGATTATTGTCTCAGTTTCAGTTTTGATTAAAAGGTTTGTTTTTAATTCTGTGTTTTCTTCCAATCACAATAAAATTAATAGAAAACCAAAACTTTTTTATTGTTTTATAAATATTTTTTTTTACACTCTCTATCACTATTACTCTCTTTTGAAAAAGTGCCGTTAGATGCGGTTTGTTTATGATAATAATCTCTATAATTAATTTCTTTTTATTTTTTTAGTGGCTATTCTTGTTTTCGTTTTCGTTTTCATTTTTTGTTTAATTCGCGATATTTATAGTTGTATGCCTATCTGTGCAGTACAAAAATTGTTGTTTTTCTTCTTCGCGCTCCATTTCATTCATTATCACTTTTTGAAAATCAAAATATACATAAGTCCTATTAAAAATATTAAAGGTCAATAATTATAACTATTATTGTTATTGATTTGTTTGAATAGAATATGGAATTGATTTTTATCAATATCATAAAATATTAATTGTTGAATATATTTTTGAAAATGTAGGGTTATAAAACTGATGATAAAATACCTGTTAAAATGATTATAGCTTGATTAAAAGCTGTTTCTATTTTAAATAAATTTTATTTTATAATCGTGATTTAAAAGTTCAGTAGCAAATAATGTTATACTATATAGTATTCCTCTTCAATATAAGTATAGATGCATTATGCATACGTACATATTCGATGGTGAAAATACAACAAAGTTATAATTATGATGGCATAGTGAGAGTGTACGATATAAAAATTTTATTTTATTGCAAAAATGTTAGGATTTTCTTTGGGAACAGGAATTTTCTTTTTTTCTTTTCTTTTTAGGAACAGTTGCAATAAATTTTTAATATTAAAGCAAAAATATTAAAGTATAATATTCTTGCAGTAAAATAGGTTAGTTATATAAAATAAATGAAAGCACGTTATTTGTTTTAATATGAATTTTATAAATTTCATTACATCTTCGCAATGCTGTAAAAATTGTTGATTCAAAAACAAGATTGATTATTAAAAGAAAAAATTACAAATATTAAGTTAAAGGAGTTTTTTTTAAAGTGGCTTAAGGATTGCATGAATAGAGGGTAGTAAACATACAAATTGCATCGAATATCAGTTTCGTTCTATTCAGCGGACATCAAATGATATCCAACTAAGTTGTTATGAGATTTGGATCTAAAAAGAAAATTTCCATATATAATATTATGTAGGTAAACTATTGATCAATATTTGTCAATTATATTCCAAGTAATACATATATATATATATCATTTTGTATTCGCACATATTTTGCAAAGGCAGCAATTATTATGTGCATATACTAGAAAAGTAAATTGTGTGCATATAAAACAAGTGAAATATCTTATAAATCTTAACCTTATGACATGGTCAATACTAAATTAACCTTTATATTTTCACATTGTATTATTAATATAAATTAATATTTTATTCTTATATTAAAATTATGATATGATTTAAACAATAAATTTTAATTTCTTTTCTTTTCGTATATTTTTAACTATAAATAATTATTATTAATAACTAAGTAGCTCTATATATAAAAAATTGTTATTTCTTTTCAAGCAATTCATAATGTGGTGATGTTGTTTATATAGAAAAGAAAAACAAATCGAAAAATAAAAAGAAATTATTCAAAAGTTATCGAAATAGCACCTAAATAATATTTGTTTAAATTTAAAATATAAATGTATATATAATAATTTATAACCTTAAAATGCCAAATCTATTATAATCTTACAAATTTGTTGAAAATTTTCAAATTTTTCACAAATCTTAATAAATCATATTCGTATTTTGATAAGCCCACCTAGGAATACAATAAATAAAGTTAGTAAAATTTATATTATGTATTAACAACAACATCCTCTTTCAAATTGTAATATATACATAAATGAAGAAGGTGATTACAATATTGCCAACAAATAATAATCACCACAAGACATCTTTAACCTCTTTTTTTTTGGCTTTTTTTTTTTCCTTCTCTTAATGTCCCTCTTCTAAAAATAGAAAATGTAAGCTAAAAGAAATGCAATAAAATTTTTTGGAGCCGAGATATTGTTTTTATATAAGATATTTTTGTTTTTTTTTTGTTAACATCATTTTGTTACCACAATGTTTTATTAATTTTTGAATTTCGATTTCTATATAGTAATTGTAGATACATATTCCACCTACAAAAATTAAAGGAAAATGTAAAAAAGTCAAACAACTAAAAATTTCAAAATTAAAGTAATAATTTTCTCATAACCTAATGAATTTTAGCAAAATAATGTTAGAGTTATTTTTTTATAAATTTTTATGGCTAGAATCACATTTTTGGCACTAAATCCGTTTAAAAATTATAATAAGAAAAAAATACTAAATATTTAATACTAAAAAGTGAATTTTATTTTTTTTCTTTTGAGAATTAATTTAGAGAAAAAAAATCATATCACACGAATTTTTCTTTAAGTTTTGGTAATAAAAAACGTTTAATTTGTAATACGATAAGCGCCATTTAATTTTAGACAGCGGAATTTTCATTTAAAGAATTTAGGTTCTCCAATTGGCATAATTATCTTAAAATTCATTTGCAAAATAATGAAAAGTAACAGTTGCTCGTTTCATGAACAGCAACAATTATTCGCAAATTGAAAATTAATTATTCAATTAAATACTTAAAATCAAATGAAAACATTTAAACCTGGTAAGAGAATTCATCCTTATGAGAACGCTACACATATGTATAATAACAGAATTTTTTCTTTTATAAAAATTAAAATCATAATTGTATATTAGAACCTGATTCATTTAAATACACCAGAAATACGCTTGAACGAAATAGTGACGCGAACGTAATGCAGAAATAAAATACTAAGTGACAAAAAAAACATAGGTAAGTCAGCTGAGCGAAGCTATTCGAAACATTTAAGTTGATTTGAGTGTTAAAAAGTACGATTATCACTTTTAATTTTGATTTGATTTTGGTTCGGTCTTAATTTGAAACGGACATGTAGCCATTTATAAGTAAAAATTTCGAGACAATTCGTTTTACCTAAATTTTTGAGAATCAGTAACAAAAGTCAATATTAAAAATTCCTGAGATTTATTTTATCTAGGAGGGTTTAGGATTATTAGGGAAATATATATTGTTGCTTTGATTTTTTGTTATCTTGTAAAGTCATGATTTTCAATCTGAATCGTATCAAAATAAATGTGGAATTAGCAGGTTTTAGTAAAATTACAAACTGAAGAATAATTTAAGAACACTGGATCCTACAATGCCTAATGGTTTTGAAACGTTTTCTTTAAGAAATGATTTTTTTAACTATAACAAATTTGAAATTGCAATTGAAAAAAATTTCAAAAAATACATAAAATAGTTGTTTTTGTTATTGATCAACCCTGAATATAACAAAAGCAAGAACAAGGAACTATTCAGTTTATGAATAAGACGGATTATATGCCACTAAAATGAAATTTGGTGACCTTAATCTAAATTCCAGAACCAAAACACCCGATATTTTATGAGTTATCAACAAAAATTTTATTGTTATTTTACATTTGTTTTTTGTTTTAAGTTGGAATATCACCATATCATAATATAAAATATCAATTTGCTTACTGGTACTAGTAACCTCGATCTTGGCATACCTCAATGGTAATAAATTAATCTATAGATCATTTTTATTGGACTGATTTGCAAATTTATGAAAAAAGTGTTGTTTTTTTCCTCTCCATTTCTTTTTTAACTGTTTTGCTATTTTAAATTTTTTTCTCATGTTTTGGTTTTTTCTTTTTGATTTTATATTGAAATTGGAATTCCACTACAACTTATTTTTTGCCCAAATTTGTTGTTTTTATTTTGTTTTTACCTAAACATACTGTATGACTGATTAGCTTCATCAGAGTTGCCTCTTTAAAGAATAGACAACAATATCCGTGGATAGTTCATAATTAAAATATGCATAATAGTTTTGATATTATGCAAAATTTTTTAATGGTATAAATATTCGGATGGGAGATTTTTTTCAGCAGTTCAGTTCAAGAGTTTAATCAAAGCTAATCATAAGCTTTTATAACAACTAACAAAAAAATCAGTTTGCTTAAGTGTAAAATGCGTGGATTTATGGTAATAAATATTGCAAGGATATTTGAAAAGCAATTAAAATGAATCAATTTTAATAAATTGAAAAATTATTTTAAAAGAACTTAAAAAAAATTATTTCTTAATTAAATTAAAATAAAAAATTTTGAAATAGAAATATACATGTATATGTATATGTACATTAAAAGTGTTAAAGCCTAAGTTCATTGAAATCTAAGAAAAAAATATTGTGCTTATAATTTAAGGTTCTTTGCTTCATTGCTGTTGCATCAGCAGCTCAACTTCCAGGATACAATTACCAAGGACCCTCTGGCGCTGCATCAACCAATTTTGGTAGTGTTGGTGGCGGTTTCGGTGGTGGTTTTGGTGGCGGCCATGGTGGTGGTTTCGGTGGTGGTCATGGTGGTGGTTTTGGTGGTGGCCATGGAGGAAGTGGTGGTGGTGGTGGTGGAGCTTTCGGTGGATTCGGTGGCAGTGCTGCTCCAGCTGTATGGAATAAGCAATACTTTATTCACTCAGCACCAGAAGATGCGCTCTCTGATGGCGCTGGCGCAGATGGAAGTCGCGCAGCTTTAAACAAAAATTTACGCGTTGTATTTATTAAAGCACCAGAAAACAAAGGATTAGAAAATGCTGCCTTACAATTAGCTAAATCAGCTAGTGAAGATAAGACTGCTATCTATGTATTGAACAAACAAACTGATTTGGCTGAACTTCAAAATAAATTATCACAAATTAGCGACCATAATGCTAATAAACCAGAAGTACACTTCGTTAAATATAACACACCAGAAGAAGCTGAACATGCACAACACACAATTCAATCCCAATATGATAGTTTACAAGGACCAACTTCTGTATCAAATGAAGGTGTTGCCCCTGTACAAAATTTTATTGGATCAACTGGTGGTTCACGTGGTGGTGCTGGCGGTTTTGGTGGATTCGGCGGTGGTAATGGTGGATTTGGTGGAGGTCATGGTGGTTTCGGTGGTGGTCATGGTGGTTTTGGCGGTAGCAGCGGTGGTTTTGGCGGTTTCGGTAGCTCATCAAATGTCCGTGGTTCATTTGCATCACCCAGTGCCAATTATTTACCTCCCAATCAAAATTATTTACCACCCTCTATCCGTGTCTAAAATAATATCAGCTCAAAAATAGAAAAAAGGAATAAGTCTTGAGAAATAATAGTTTTGTTTTTATTTTTATTTATTCAAAAAATATTTGTTCTCAAAAACAAAAATTATATTTTAAAAAATATTTTTAATTGTTTAAATTAGTCAATGATAAAATATTTGTTGTGTTATAATGTAAAGTATTTAATAAAAGTCTTAAACTGAAACATGTTGATATTTTTTTTCATCTTCCTATACAAGGTTATTATAGGGTACAAATTTTGGATAGTACTTAAGGTATTAAATGCTATTCTAATTTTCCAAATTATTAACAACCTTTCCAAAAATTTATTTATTCTATATTGTTGTATAAAATTATTGATGACTTGGATAAACAGTTAAACTTATTGTTAATTCAAATATACAATTTGAATTAATTCCGATATTCAAAATAGAGACATAAAATACTCAAATGACAAAGTCAAGGTCGTATTAACATAAAATTAAAATTTCAAATTGATTAACAATATAAAAATTTACAAAAACATTTAAATTTCAAAACGACAATAAAATTTTGCATTAGAATAAGAATGGCAGTATTGTTTGGAAATGAATTCAAAATACAGAATAGAAGCTCTACATATTTTAAGAAATTTGTATATTTTTTATATACACATACATAATTTATTTATTAATGTAAAACCTATATTATATTAAATACAACAACAATTTCTGAAGAATTTCCGTTTATAATTTTGTGGTCAAATTGTTTAAGAACGGAGATATTGAACATTTTCTAATTTTTTTCGGCAATTTTTTAAAAATTGTCTATAAAAACATATGTGGGTAGTAACATGTATGTATGTACATAATAACCACTTTGAACCTGCCCGTTCTTCGTGTAGCATAATTTATGCAGCTTTTTCTGCAAAAAAAGAAAAGAAAAGTATATATACAACTTTGAATGACCTTCGATATTCATATAATTTCAATTTAGACTTTAAAATCTCCCATGGATAAAAAATAATCTTAAAAGACATCTACTGCTTTACTTAAAATTTAAATAAGTAATTAGCAAGTGATTTCACTTTAATATTAAGAGACAGCTAATAAATAAATAATTTTTTCCAAAATAATTAAAATTGTAATAATTAAAATATTTGTGGAATATTTGAATTTCTTTAGTTCTAAAATTATTATAATAATGTCTATTTCAATCTCAGACATTAAATAAGATTAATATAACCAAACTTATTCCTTGTTGGGGAATGAGCTTCAAATGAAAACTTCAAAATAAAACCTAAAACTTATTAAAAGTACATTATTATATATTTACGGTCTCTGCACTCACTATTAATTCTTATACTAAATTGCACAGGCATTCTTAACAAATTTAATAAATAAATTTGAAAGTTTCCATGGAAATGTAAGTTATTAAATTTACTAGAAATTTTCAATTTATAGTTAAATTATACTTGATATTGATAAAATGTTGTAAACAACCGATTATTGCAGCTGACAATAATTAATATAACACTCAATCAACTACACAAATAATATGAAACTAGTGCTTAAGTGACTTTATAAAATAAACGCGGTTAAAAGCGCTCTTGAGATTTTGATATTTAATTATTTAATTTATTAAAAAAGGAAAAGTAATATTGCGAATAACTAGTTTTTATGTAATTCATTTCCTAAAATCACTTAAAATTTAAATGTCCTTGCTACATACGTCAATCACAAAACAAAAACGACTATTATCTTTAACAAGCTATTATAATATTTTCCTTATTCCTATAAGATAAATTTTCACACACATAAATTTGGTTAATACTGTTGTTAAATAAACGTTATAAACGAAAATAGCCTATTTTACGCCAAGAATTATCTACAAATTGTAACAATTTTCGACAAAAATTTTCATCCTCACGCCAAATTGTATGTACATCACATTATCTTGTGTAAATAAAAAGCTCAATTTTATATCAATTGAATTTAAGATTTTGTTGCAGCCAAAACGTATGCAATATTTCATAAAAAATTTGTTAGCGGGTTTATTTTCGTACAATGTTATAACTACGTATTTACATGCAAAGCTACTTAAATTTTGCAATTCTTTATACAATATGTGTACTTAATACTAGTGTGTGGTACACCAGGCGCTTAGACATAGTATTGAAAATTCACACGATAAAATTTTTATGCAATATTTTGCCAACATTTTGAATTTCAACTTAAAAATTTTTGCGCTTTTATATAGTTTTTATACCCGTATGAACGTTCGAAAGGTATTATAAATTTGCTCAAATAAAATATGGGAGATATAATGTCGAAATTTCAAGCTGAAATTTCGACTTTATATCTCCCATATTTTATAATGTCGAAATTTCGAAAGCTGTTGAGATGTAATGAGCGATTATGACAGTTGTCATACAACTTCAAAAATTATTTTAATTTAATTAAAATAAAAGTTATTGAAACTTTAATCTATAAATTTCGCGCGAAAATGTATATTCCTGCGGCTGTTATATTTGATAAAAGTCGTCAAAATTTCTTGATTCCTTGTTCAAGTTGCTGCCATACAACTTCAATACTTATTTTGTCACATCTCAGAAATTTTTGCAAATTACAGTACTAAAGCTTTGCACAAGTTATTGCGGTATACAACTATTATTATTTCAGTTCGAACGTAAGTTCGATGGGTACTATAAATTCGCCGCTCCGTGATTTTTATTCTTACTTCTGGGTAAACGGGCGAATACAGTCGGATACAAAAGGTTCAGTACGACATGTGAAACTTGTTTCATTTCGCATAAAACGAAACCAGCGTAATTAAAACCATAGCCTGTCGCATAGTTAGCTATGGCATATTTTTTCAACTACGAGATAACATGTTCGTATTGCTATCACAAAATTGACATGATCAACTCTTTTTTTTTCTCGTGGCCCATAAAATTTTATAATCACATAAACTACGAAATCACTAATGCAAAACAAGATTTAAGCATCTAAAATACTTTTTAAATGCAAATAAGAAAAGATAGAGTTGACCGTGTCAATACTGTGATATATTTTTCAATGTTTTGCATAAATTATATGACAACTGGCAAAAGGAATTCATTCCATCACTATTAATATTTTTTAGAATGGTGACTTCAAGTATTAAGTTTTTAATGGATTTTGAAATTTAGCTAGCTATATGCTTTATAGTAGTTAACATATGAATAAATGCATTATAAAAGTAAAATTGACTCAGAATTCAATACTGTATTTCAGATGTAAATTTCTTGATATTACTAACAGAGTAGTAAATTTATAATAATATATTCAAACATTCGTTCGTATAGAGAAAGTTAACATATCAAATAATAAAAAACATGATTAATCAGCTAAATTAAAATACTTCAATATTTTTCTTAAAATAATAAATCTCAATTTTTATGTTTCTAATCGTAAATTACAATCATATCAATGCTTTCCAGGCATCAGTCATATCAATGCCATGTCAACAAACAATCATATCAATTCTTTCCAATTTCTACTCCTACGAGGTGTTCAAAAATTTTACTTTTCATATCTTTATCCCTGATATTTGCGAAACAGATACAATTATACAAGTAGTCTACTTAAACTATAATACTGTCAGTTCTTCTAGACAATATACTTCTAGTAATACTATTAATTTAGTTCTAATACTTCTTTTAGAAATTATTCGTCTTGCAGCATAATGATTTTCAAAAACTTATTAAACCTTTAACTTGAAAGTTTCAAATACAGTTACCGGAGTTTATAGAAAGATATTTAAATGAAATTGGACAATTTAATATTCTTGGAAATATTATAGGTACTTAAAGAACTTTGGAGTTTTCATTAAATAAAACTATTTTCAATTGTAAATTAAATTATTACCGAGTTTAGTGAAAAGGGTACAGAAGATTATGAAAATGTGTTTTAAACACTTCTTTACAGTTTTAAGGACGCTAGTAAGTTTCTAGCTAACACACATAGAAAAACGTAAATTTGGCTTTTAATAGAATTTCGCTTTGGGTCACCAGAATTTTCTGAAAAGTTCACCAGTTAGTTCCGGTAAGAACTAGAACTAAAATATTAAATTTCAAGAAATTCCATCAATCCGTTCTGTTGATATTGGAAAAAAATATAAAATCGGCCCTCAGTTCAGGTTCTGAGCCCTGATCTATCCAAAAAAATTTATAGGCTCATTATTTTAATATCCCGAATTTAAAAATTAAATTTTAAGGAAATTGGTTTATTATTCGGCATTGGTTTATCATTAAAATCGGCCCGCAAAAAGGTCCCGAGTTGTGATATATTCCAAAAGTTGACCAATCCGTGTCATAGTCAAAATAAACTCACTTCCGCTTCTATACTATGGAGAAATGCGTTTCCACCGAAAATTCGATATGCAAAACTTGTTGCCATCACATAACCTCCCATATTGTATATGCAACCGGGTCGGTAAAAAGACAGCACGAGCTCTTATTACAACTATAATACAAGTTTAAAACAACTTAATCATATTTAAAAAATTTCTAGGCCCATAATGATGAAATTATAAACAAATCAGTTTGCTACTACGACCATTTTTTTTTTAGAAATTGTGTATTTATAGGAGTTTAAAATTAGCCTATAATCATATGTATTTAGGAAAAGTATTAGGCTACTAAACTTCAATTAAACACAAATTATTTTAGTTATAAGTTGACAGGGATAGTTGTCAAATATCAGACTGCAAAATAAAAATTCTGTTTTTATATTCAATTGCCCATAATTGCATCCCAGTTTTCATTTGGTTTTGATTTAAAAGTTATATTCTACACTAAGCCACAGTAAATTATTTTGTGTCAAAATTTTTTGATATTAGAACATATTCACAGAATATTCAAATATAACTTTAAGTCGAAGTGAAAAAACTGTACTTATTATCTCTTCTTATCTCTTCTAAAAAAAAATACTGGCAATCAAACCAAAATTTTAAGAATTCAATGAAACAATTTCACCACCCGTTTCAAATCTGTGGTGGTCATTCAAAAGAGTATAGGTCAATTTTTTTTCAAAAATAATATTAATAGTTAATAAAACTCTTTCTCTGTGTTGTATAGAATTCGACTAGAAATTTTTGTTTACTTCTTTTAATCGACCGCATGGCATACAATAAGCATTTGTTCAGATCAGTATCCCAAGTTCGGCTACTTTTTAAGGAAATATCCAACAGATTTTCTTTTAATTTTGTATCAGTTTTTACCAAAAAATGGTTAAATTAAAATTGCATGTATTTATAGTGGTTTAATGGAATCTATACAAGTTGCAATAACTGATACACAAATGAGGATAAGTTCTGGTTTTTCTTTATATTCCTTTTACTGTTTACTCCTTTGAACACTTACCATGGAAATTATTTCTACAACTGAAGCTCTCATTTAAAAATGAGAAATATTGTCTAACATTAAAAAATCTGATTGGAAATTATTTAAAAATAAAGTTGGGTCAAACGAATGGTTTGTATTGTAGCACTTTTCCCTTCAAGAAGTGAAAATTCTGCTTTTAAATACAGTCTATGTATACCTATCACACAATTAAAATTATTTTCATTCATATACAAAACTATTTCTAGGATTGCATATATTTGGGATGAACGATTTATGCAGTCTTTGAAATAAAGCAAAAATTAATATAAAGTGGGGTTAACATAATACTCAATTTTAAGGGTTAATTGTGTGAGTTAAGAAAAATAATTATATTTTTTAATGTCATGGAATTTACCGTTAACTTTTTGCGTTTATAGAAAATTTGAAAAAGCTTGCGGTTTCGGAGATATAGGGTGTCAAAAATTCAAATTTTACAAATTTGAAGGGGCGATAACTTGAGAGGGGGTGGAGATGGAAAAAAATTTTCTTCTAACGAAATAAACTATTTGTATAATAATTTACAATAAAATACAATTTACAATTTGTACAATAAAATATTTGAAAAAAAAGGAGTTTAGATAACGGTAAATTTGAACGGCCATTTTGTTTTTCTAAAGTTTAACTATAGTATACCGCGCTAGGGAAAGCAAGCCGCTGCCTTTCTGCGTTTGCAAAATTTCAAAAATGCTTATGGTTTCATTGCAACAAATAGTTAAAAAAGGCCATTTTTAAGGTTTTGGTCGGTATAACTTCTAGAGGGGGGAGATAGGTAAAAATTTTATTCTACGGATGTAAGTTTCTAGCAAAGATCTATGTACATATAAAATTTCAGCTTTCTATCTTCAAAGATGTAGAAGTTTTGTAAACGGACACACGGACAGACGGACGGACGGACGGACAGCGTGAAACTAATAAGCACTTTTTTTCAAAAAATTTTTGGAAAAGTGCTAAAAAGATTGACTAAATTTAATAGGAAAAGAAATTACTATTTACGCGAGTTACTAGGCAAGATCTTTTTTAAGGTAATATTTGTTTTTCAAAATAATATGTGAATTTCCTTTTTTTCTTTTTGAAATTGCAAAGATAATAAAGTTATTTTAAAATTGGCTCAACATTTACAAGAGGCTCTTCTTTTACGCATTTCTGTTTCTGAAAAAAAAATCAAGCAGCAACCCTGAATTGTGCACACACTTTTAGTGTATATGTGTAATATGTGTAGGTAACCAATTCACATTAGTTCTTTTATAATAAGTATGTATGTACAAAATTTACAAAATTGATTAAATGCCGATAAAAAATCCATAACTTCAAACATGTAAATTTGGGTTATCGATTATGTTTTCTTTCATACTTATAAATTACGTCATATGTATGGATGTGCATATATAGTATTTGTATACATACATATGAAAAATATTTATTCATATTTCATTTGTTTTGTTTCGATAAATTTGTATAAAAACACTTCAATATTTTTGTTTGAAGCTATTAAAAAGTTTGCCGCTATTAACAAAAAAAAACAAGCAAAAAAATACAACATTAATAATAATAAAAAACACAGCATCAATCTGTTTTCAACATAAAAACAAACAATTTTACAAACTCACCTAAAATTGAGGTGAGTTTTTATTAAAATAAAACTTTTGATTTGATTACTGTCACTTTATTATTGTGATAATGTTAGGTTGTTTTTATTGCTATAAATTTGTCAAATTGTATATGTCTATAGAAATGTGCAATCTATTATAAATATTTCATATTATAATTATCTACCTTTTTTTGCTTATTTTTTATTTATACTGTTATTTCTTCTTCTAATTTTACTCTTCATATAACTACAATAACATTTAATATGAATACAAATTTTCAAATTAAAAATTCAAATCGCAATAAAAAAATTAAAAACAAAGAAAATTTAATAATGATGACGAATAAAAAATACAATTGGCCTGACTTCTAAATCATAATTTGCTAATTTAAGATTAATTTGCACCCAATTTCATTTAAAGTTTCATTTAATTTTTTCATAAATTATTGGTTAAACATTTCAAGTATCTTAAAAACAAAATAGCTATCATAACGCGACTCTATATTTGTTACTTTGACTGCATGATACCAGTAGAAGACATTTTGCTCTGTTAATAGAAAAAAAACTAACAAATTTATTAATCACAAAACTTGTATTTTTAAACTAATTCTAAATATAATTTTGATAAACACAGTTAATTTTTTCGATTATAATAGACCATTTTTTATAATTTTATGTCGCTTTACATATTAATCACACAATACCATACCATTTTATAAAATACCAAGTTATTGTAACAGTAAAAAATTTCCTAAATGGCATGCAAAGTATAAGCTATAAGGTATTAACAGTAAAATACAGTAAAAATCATAAAAAATCAACTAAGCGAGAATCCTTTTTAGCAAAACGAACTGATTTCGTATATTTTTCGACTTTTTGTTCGTACTTTTGCACCCTTACATGCACATCGGATAAAAGCAAAAACTTTTATAAACACAAACAAATTTACCTTCTTCTTGTTTAAAGTTGAAGTCCTTTTATTATTGCAAAAAACAATTAGCATTAAAAAATTTTTTACTTTCTTCTGAAATTCAATTCCTTACAGTTGTTCTAAATTAAGGTTCAATACAAGATACTTGAAATTTTATTGTCTTTGAACTTTTTATCAAGTCGGAAAATTGCTGAACAGCTATTTCTATAACTGAATTTCAATTTACATTTTACTTGTTCTATACGAGAAACATTTGAGACTGCATTGAGAGCTAATTATGACAGGCTATTCCATATTTTCATCGCTAACGTTTGTTGGCAAAACGTACGATTTTACTAAATATATTTATGCGTCTATATTTATGAAACAAGTATAACGAGTCTTTATTACATTTAAAAATTTTTAAGACAAAGAGGGAATTTTAAGAAATTTATATAACAATTCGAGTATTCCCAACTATATTTTTATGACACATCTAAACCGAAATCAGAAATATTAATTTTTTTTAGTGCAATATACGATCGCATGTCATTACTCAAGTAATTCAATATGGAATATATTACACTCTATCAATCAAACTAAATTTGGTGTCTCTATTATATGCGTTGCAATCTTATATTCATCATAATTTGGTTAAAGACTGTATAAAACAAAATATTTATATGATATAAACTTTTAGCAAAAAGATGACAAAATCAAAATAACGGTGGAAATATGCATACACACACGCACAGGTATAATCTATGCAGTAAAACATATTATGAAAATTTTGCCGCTTATGATTTGAAATTCATTAACATTTTTATCTATTTTTCCTTCAAATTATTCAATTAAGCAGCCAAAGTTAATATAAAACGCTTGTACACAAAATTATTCCTAACAGTTTAAATTTTTATTTATCAGATACTATCAGTATTTTTTACCATTTTATTTTAGTTAAATTTTTTTAATTAAAAAAAAAACTTTACAACAAAATGATTATAAAATTATTAGTAATTTGTACATTAGTGACATTTACATTAGCTAAACCACCATTTGAAGGTTATGAACCAAAAAGGAATTATGATAGTAAATTAGGTTTAAATGAAGATAGACAATGTGATTGTAAATGTCCTACAGTATCAAATAGCAGATATAATGAAGATCAATCAAGCAGTGATTCAAGACAAAGATACGATTATAGAAAACCACAATCGTCTAAATCCTTATCTTCAGAATCTGGTGAATCATTATCATCGTCGTCTAAATCTCGTAGGCCTTCAATAAGTTCTGGAGGAAATAATGATTATGAACCTAGACCATTTTCAAAAAATACAGAATCATCTGAAGAACATATTCATCGAAAAGAAACAAATATTGTTGAAAAAGAATTTTATACGTACACGCCACCGAAAGACACTGTAACCGATAGCAAATCTGAAACTGAAGAAACAATAACAAACAGAAAAAAAATTCGCGTATTATTTATACGAGCACCAGAAAGTCATTCGGTTGAAAATCTTGCATCGAAACTTGCAAAATCTGTGGTTGAAGATCAAACACATGTTTACGTACTTACAAAACAAACAGATTCCAAAGAATTACAGAAAGCTTTCGAAAAAACAATTGAAATCAAAAGCAATAAACCAGAAATTCATTTTGTTAATTTTCGTAATGAACAAGATGCTCGTGATGCTCAGCAACGTATTCAACAAGAAATCGATGGTCAATATGATGGTGCTTCATCAAATATTGAGGGCGGAGAAGCATCGTTACAATCATGGTCATCAACTGATACTGAAACAACAAGTAACCAAGAAAATGATGATGATGATAATGGCGATGGTTCTAATGGTATTCTTTCATCTGAGGGAGATGATGATAGTACTGATACTGAAAGTGACAATGCTGACAATATTGATGAGAGGTCTTATCAAAATAACGATGATTCGCCAAGAACACAAAGTAGATTACAAGGAAACTCTAATAATAATGAAGATTTAGATTCTTTATCAATAAATCGTAATGGTGGAATAAGCAATAGGAATAAAAATAGAAATCAAAACGACAGCAAATATAATCTCGCATCTAGAAATGGCTATTTACCACCAGTCAGAAACTAGCATTAATAAAAAATGGACACTATAAAATGCAATAATTACATATTCTCATACACACACATATAATATGTATATATACGTAATATAGAATTTAGAATTAAAAACTATTTATTATCATGTTCTCAGTACAATTACATAAACTTTAAATATAATTAATTAAAAAATAGTAGTTTTATAAATTGTTGTTTCTATATTTTGTTTCGATAAGGTATACAATACGAAATTTTTTAATTAAATCATGAAATCAAGAAATTAAATTTTATTATTAAACAGTTTGCATGCTATTAAACTCTTAAGTATGCTACATAAAATTAGACTGCCCATCATAATTATTTTAAGTTTGATGCTAAGTTAAAAACTAAAACAAAAATGGTAAATAATAAAGCAAAAATTTTTTACAACACATTTTTGACACATTTTAATTTGAATATTTTATACCTACATACAAGTAACTCTTATAAATGAGCTATAATAAATGATTGAATGTTAATCTTATCATGTTGTGATATTTTTATGTTAAAATTTGACATTGACATTACCAATGTGATATTTTGAATATCTTAAATATAAAAAGAAAATTTTTCTAGAAACTAGATTTAAAATTGTGTGCTATATAAATATTCATGTAGAAAATCTATTTCATAATTAATTTCATATTTTCAATGAAATTTTAATTTCCTATGGAGTGCTTTATTTTTTTAAAGTATGAAGATAAAATATAATTCAACAGCGCACATATTAAGAAAAATACATCCGGTTAACTTTAACATTGCGTTTGAGCTTATATAGTAACCGCATACTTGATGTATGAATTTTTGTTTTTATTAGAACGAAGTCTTACGTCAAAAATGGCATACCAATTTCATATCAAAATTATTTCATATTCGATGCTAGTATAAAACTGTGCTGAAAAACAATTGGATTTGGGAGGGATAATATTCACTAGCTACAAATTATTTGCTTATTGTTAATGTCCTCTAAATTTTGCATTATTTAATGTGATCCAAAACTACCAGTCAGTTTGGTAAAAAAAAATGGAACATTATGTTTATATAGATATTATATAGTCTTAATCTTAAGCAATGATTATGACATTTTTCCTTTAATCGAAAGGTCCTAAGATTAATTCCAGGCCAAATCACTGTAAAAACTATAATTAAATTTATGTAGCTTGACATAAAATGTTATAAAATAAAATGTTAATATAAAAGTACTGAGTACTACTTTGATACTGAATACCAATAAAACAAAACGTTATATCAAGAACCTTATAATGTTTAATATAAAGAAAAAATATCTACTGTATACTATGCGCATAGTATATTGGTAATTAGTGAAACACGTTATATATTTAGTAAGCTCGATAATGTAAACAATAGTCAAAAATAATAATATTTATGAAATACCTACAAGTATTAATGTTATAGAAGTGTTAAAGAAGTTATCCGGTTCTTTTTGCCATTTATTAAGTGCTCACCATCAATGGGAAAGTTTTAAATTATTTGTTTTGTGTAACCTAATCCCTTTTTCGTTTCTAATATTTGTCATGAATTAAACAAGAGTGAAAAAAAATTTAAACATTATAAATTTATTCAAAACAAAGAAATCAAATACGTCTCCAAAGGATCCATATCTTCAAAAATGATGATACTGGGAATCTATTACGAAAACTCACTCACACTATAACTTCTCAATATTTAAGAGCTAAAACTTTACATTGAATAAAAATGACTCAATTTTCTCTATCAAATCGTTTTGCTCGCCTATAAATATGCAAAATTTACGATTTTTCATTTTTTAAACATTTTTAAAAGTACAAGCTAGAAAGTTGGTTACAATATACAATTTTTCAAGAAATCAAATCAATTGTATATTATTCCAAAAACTATTCAAACTAAAAGAAACAGAAAAAGCTTAATTTCCCAAAATAAATATTTTTCATATATGTTAACTATATAGCTACGTTTTTTGTATAACTGGTTATTTTTAGTTTATTAATCACTTATAAATATTTATTAACAGTATAAAACATTTTGATCAATTTTTGAGGCTGCTTATGATCTAGACAATTTATCCTTTACTAGGGATCAACTTGAAAATTTTATTTAAAATAAAATAATTTATGCATTAACTTAAAATTTTGTATATAAACTCTGTGTAAAAACCTCGTAAGCGTTCCAGGAAATTAGTAAAAGTGAAAGCACTTGGACTTTTACTATAGACTAAAATAACATTCTCGGCCATATTTTAAGGAAATAATCAAAATCTTTTTTAATTTAATACTAGTAAAATACACTGAAAAATTTTTGATGAAAATCATATTTCATATTCATATTGATTAAAGGCTGAAAATCATATTGATTAAAGGCTGATTTCGCATGAACTCGCTCTTATCTAAAGACCTAATGAGCGAAATTCCTTTAAAATTAATAGTTTTGAATAGAAATAGTTGACAAAATTGTGTAGTAAAATTGGGCTCCAGAAAGTGGATTTATAAGAATCTAATTAACATATTTAAGAGTATATTAACTTACTAATTTTATAAAATTTTAAATAAGTTCATAAAAAATAGTTTTGTAATATCGTACAATTTTTTAAGTTAAAATAATGAAATCGGATTTATTGGAATTTAGTCTGGAAAATATAAAATTTTTCACATCAACTTTTTTATATTTTGTAAGCGACACCAATTGGGAAATTAGAGTTGGTTTTATTTTTAGGAAACTTCAAACAATTGATTTTTTATTTTTTAATCATTCGGACAAAGCGTCACTACTTACACAACTCCTGTATATAGCTCCTGTATTTCAATTGATCTTGAGAGTTTAATACTTTTATTCTTTAATGGTTGTTTATCATTTGGATTCTAGAAATGCTAAAACAAGTGTTTCTAAGGGCATCTATGATGTTCTAAGGTATGAATAAAAATAAACCAAAACAATATAAAATTTAAAAACATTACAGTTTGAGTGTTCCATTCCTGATGTTTTAAAAACTTTTTTTAAGAAGAGTTTTAAGAAAATTTCAATGTGAAAGTAAGAATCATTGCCAGGGTTTGGGTTAATTTTTTGAAATTTGATTGTGACAATGTCCTGTTTCAGAAAGTTTTTAATAAATGTTTTGCTCAAAACATTTAATAAAATAAGAAAAATCCTCTGCTGTTTTCCTAAAAAGAAATCAATTACATCCTGAACAACGAAATTTTTCAACATTCACATAGATATTAAAACATGGGATGACGAAGAGAATAAATAAATTTGAGAGCATTCATGAAACTCATGAAAACTTTACAATAGAAAAAAAAACAATTTACTTCCTAAAACGCTTAATACCCTAATATCAGTGTTCAATGTGGACCATGTAAAGGAAAAATTTTATATCTTAATTGAATCGAGTTCAAAAAATTTACTCTGTACAAAATTACTACAGTAAACGAATTCTTAACTAATGTAAACTACAAAAAAGGGTATATCTATAATGCAACAAGCGTGCTAATTATTAAAACCAAAATATATATATCAATAATACTTTTTATTTTTGTAGTTTTTCTCTTATTTCTAAAATCTCAATTTAAAAACCATACATTCTCTTTCTTTTTTAAATGACTTAATATTATATTATGAGTAATCAATAAATTTAAACGACGCTTTGGACTAATCTTTTCCACATGTGCTTTTTCAATACTTATATTATATATGATAAAACATCTATTCCGTGAAAGAAATCACAATTCAAATTTTCTCTAAAATTATTGGGGTGGTAAATAATCGTTTTGAGTTCTTGAATTTTGAATAGCAGTATTATCATAAGCTGGAACGGATGAAGCAGGTGCTAGTGAACCAACAAAATTTCTAACTGGTGCAATACCCTCATTAACAACTTGTGATGGCCCACCTAAAGTATCATATTGTGATTTAATATATTGTTGAGCATGTTCGGCTTCTTCTGGCGTTCTATATTTAACAAAGTGAACTTCTGGTTTGTTAGCATTTTGATCAGTAATTTGTGATAATTTATTCTGAAGTTCAGCCAAATCCGTTTGTTTGTTGAGTACATAAATTGCAGTTCTGTCATCTCCTGCAGCTTTAGCCAATTGCAATGCAGCATTTTCAAGTCCTCGATTCTCTGGTGTTTTGATAAAAACAACACGTAAATTTCTTTTATTAGCCAACAACGATTGGTCTGCTGCACTTGGCTCTAATGCATCATCTGGTGCTGAATGAATATAATACTGTTTATTATATATTACAGGTCCTTGATGTAATCCCTGTTGATCGCCTAATTGATAACTATATTGTGGAGCAGCGAATGTTGCAGTAATTACCGAGAAAAGCTATAATAATTTCAAAAACAATATTGTAGTGAATTGTACACAATTTCTACTTTAAGTTAGATTTCTATTAATTTAAATATTTACTATTAATCCACGCATGTTTAACTATTAAATTGTTATTGATCACTAAATGGATCCTAAACTGATTGTATTATAGTATACACCTAAATTCCAACTGGTGCAATAATTTTTTTTCCTGGTATTTATATTATGTTTCACACAATTTTATACGCTTTCGGTAGGTTCCATTTCTCTTCAAATATCAAATAAAATTTAATAACTAATATTAATAACTAGAAAGAAATTTTGTAATGTGAGTTTCGGTAATAATGCATTCGAATTAGGAAAATAAATTTGTTGAAAAAATATGTAATCTTGATAACATATATATGATACATACTATATCTAACATAAAATTTATTAATGCTTTCCCTTTCTAGCACACAAATATTTTGAATATATTTTTTGAAATATTTGAAATTTTTGACAGCTAAAAAATCGGTAATAGCAGTTTTATTATGAATTTAGATCTGTAATAAAAGAAAGCTTTATATTTCTTCATGTTTTTTTATTTTTCAATCTACAGTGGAATTAACATTTTAAACTTAAACTCAACTTAATAGAGTGGGACTAAAAACAAATCGACAAAGTGACAAAAGTGACCAATGAAACTAACTATATATGAACTAAATAAATTCATCTGTAATAAAGCAAAACGGAATTTAAAAGATATTCAAGACATTTTAATTAAAGTAGAGATTTCTTGTAGGCTTCTAAACATTCAAAGTTTATCACTTATGGGCCAAACAAGCAATGTGCACATGTTTTGCTTTAATTTTAAAAGCCCTTAGAAAATTTTAAATATTTTGGTTCTTTTAATGGAGTCTAAGTGGACTCTTAATCATTTAAGCTACAAAGGTACGTTTTCGTGTTGCACCAATAGATTATTGTAATGGAATAGTGGTTGTTCTGAAACAAATGTTTACTTGAAAACAACAACCAAAGTGCGGAAGCATGCAATGCTATTTCCTCCAAACTACTTAATATATATACAAAAGCTGAAAATAGAAACTCTAAACAATCAACCAAAGTCTTAAAACAATATAAATTTTTACCAATAATCATGACACATGGCATGACAATTGAAGAGTTCATGCAAAAATAAATCAAACAACATCTTAAAGAGAAAAATATTTTTCAACAATTTTAAACAGAAGTAAAATCCAAAATCGCCAACTCATCTCTTTAACAAATATTTTCTGAACCACTCTAAAATTAAATTTTTTTCTGCTTTTTCAAACCATACGATTAAATAATCAAAAAGTTGTCGCCCTATGTAGAAAAAAAATGTTTGTTTTTTAAATTTAATATACATGAATTCTAATAAGTTACGGATCGGCGCCTTTGCCGCAAAAATTTGGATGTTTCCTTGTTTTTTGTTTGTCGATTGTTTTTTGGTGATGAAAAACATGAATAAATTATTAGACTTTTTATTTCCTCGTACCACTAGAAATTTGATGAGGAATTTTCGATATGTTTAGTCATTAAATTATTATGTGATTTAAATAATATTGAATGATGTAATGACATTATATCGGAAATTAGAGGATTTAATCAAAGCTTTAACGTGATGTTATTAAAAAACATATTGCTTTAAATTGTAAGAAAAGTATTAAATTCAACTTTTAAAAAAAATATTAAATATTGATTACATTCAAAATGTTCTTAGAAAAATTGAAAACTCATGTTATATTTTGAACTGCTCACACTGAACTTATGTTTACTAACGAAAAAAGCAGATTTTTAATAAACGGAACTGTGTGCAAAATATCAAAGCCCTAGAGGTTTTATAAACATTATTACTCTTAAAATGTAGAATCACAATTTTTATAGCAACAATTTAATGATTCCACCATTCTAGTGAGAATCTTGACAAATGTTGACAGAAAGCGTTAACAATGTAAGAAAACATGTATAGGTTGGCCAAAAATGCTAAATTCATAATACGTGACTTTAAACAAAGTAGGTTTCAAAAAGTATGTAGAAAACATGGAAGAACCACTAATAAATTACCAATAATTACCAATTAGAAAAAAATTTTTTGTTTCTTTCTATTTGGTTAAACTTTATATAAGTATTACAACATGCGGAAATTAAAGTATCATTAGATCCTAAGATATTTAATATTATATTTTACGTATATTTCAAATGTATATTATACACTTCGCCCTAAAAGAATTTAGAAGAATTTCGAAAAACCGTATCACTAATTTCACTTTATAGCACTTCCAACAAAATTGCAAAAAAATGCTTATTAGTTTTACTCTCTCCGCACATGCATTTAGCTATCCATCCGCCAGCGCCTCTGCTTACAAAGCTTCTACAATTTTAAAAATAGAAAATTGAAATTGCATATATAAATAGATCTATGCCTGAAACATATTTCTCTTCATAAGAAAATTTTTACTTCCCTCTCCTTAAAAAAATTATGAATCCCATATATCTACCATTTTTTGAATTTTGTGTACCAAAACAACAAACATTTTTTTAAATTTGACAAACGCAAAACTATAGGTTTTGCTTCTTCTATCGAGGAACGGCATAACTAAATTTTATAATGAGAAAATTTAAAATTAACCGTTACTTTAAACTAGTCTTTTTCAAAAGTTTTAGACACGTTTTTTTTACTTTACGTTGGAGTCTAAAATTTCAAAATTAATCAATGGTTTAATCGCAAGAAAAATTTTCTCCAACCCTCTCTTCCTACTTGTTACTTTTTTTCTGAAAAGTATGCAATATTTTTTTTTATAATACAATTTCGGTAAGTTAACAACACAATTTAAATAGACCACTGCTTTGTGGGAAAAAGTATTTTAATTTGCTCAAGAGGAAAGTGCTTCTTTATAAACCATTGGTTTCGTTCCAGTTTTTATGTCTTCTTAGTCAATTTTTCATAAAGAATTCTCCCTGTTTCAACTTAATTTCTCGTCTTCGTAATATAAAATTATAAAATTTTTCAAATTGAATTTGTTAGTTTTTCTTGTCGCACAATTAAGTTGTCCCAGTTTTCTTTACGAGCATGTCCGAAATCGTTTACTTTTAAACAGAAGATGCATTGCAAAAATAAGTTTTCAGTTTTGTTTTTGATTTTGTCGTCAGATGCAGGTAAAGTTTAAGGAAAAACAAAATGCAATCATCGCATTCTAAAAAAACAGTTGAAACCTTTGAAAAAAAAATAAAGACGTCTTTTATATTAACATTTTTTATGCAACAATATTTTTCCACAATTTTTACAACATCATAACCAATAATTATTCAATATTTTAAAATTGCGAGTAGTTATTACCCTTGAAATTGGCAAACAATTGTGTATAAATATAAAAACATGGAAAGTGTAATTAGTGAATTTAACGAAAAGAACCACAAAAAATATAGCTCACAATGTAAACTCGTAAATATCCGTGCGAATAAATGTTTCTCTGAGTTGCGTGTTAATTCCTGCAAAAATTCTTGTCACTCATTCTTATTAAAATAATATAGTTCTTGATGGACTCATTTCGCATCTAACTAAATACAGAAGCTTGAGCATTTCCTAAAGCATGACATAATAATTGGTGAAGTAAAGAAGATAATGGACCTATTACAACAACCGCAAAAGCGAAATTTTAATATTATACCTTATAATAGTTCTCAAGATGTTGTAAACAGTTTTTGAAATTGTATTACAGCTACCGTAAGCGTGTAATTTCAATTCTTCTTACATACGCTTTCTATTTTCACCTTCTTATATTGTAAGGTTGCTGAATTTGTCATCCCAATCATTTGGGGTGACCGAAATTGCTGTCGTCCCGAAAAAGTATATCATTATATACTTTTATATAAATCATTTATAGAAATTTGTGAAATTATTTCAATTGTTTTTTAAGTTATCGCTTACACGTACGGTCAAATGGAAAGACATACGTTCGTGCTGGTATAATAATCAACTATTCTTCTGGATGTACTTGAAAATCTTTGTAAAAGGATGCCTTCTAATTATAAGAAAAGTTAAATTAATTGATTTAAGCTGAATAAATAAACCTATGTAAGGTCAAACTTTTTTATAATGTAAAGAAATTTTTACACATTGTTATTCTCACTCTTTTATTTTCGACTTAAAATCGCTATTATAACTTCTTTTATCACTGTATTTTTTTCACAGCATAAAATTAATTTTTTTTCTCAAAATTTAAAATTGATTGATGTCAGATTTAATTTTTAATTAAATCAGCTACCAAATGATTTTAAAAAATCAATATTGAAAGGCAAAACATTTTTTTTTACCTTAATTTACTACTTGACTACCTTTTAGTTTAGAATGGTAATTAATTATCAATGTTATAAATTTTTTGAAAAGGGAAGCTTGACAGCAAGTCATCTATAATGCAATTATTATTCACCAAAGAAAATTTTTATATTCAGTGATTAAAATTTTGAAGCAAAATTTTATTAAATATTTTTAATATATTATAGTTTTAAATAATTTCGAAATCGGATTTTTTTGATTATGAAGTTTTGTGCGTGTTTCTTTCGCCTTTGTAACTTTTAAAATATTTCAATTAGACAAATAATACAAATAAAAAAAAATCGTTTCATTTTCACAAAGGGCTTATAAGTATCAAACGAACAAATTATGTTACAAAGCTGTTGGGTTTAATGATTAAGTAAGGTATACCTACATATTAAATTTTTACCTATAAACATAATAGGTTTAAGTATACGTACGGCAATATTTGATTGGCATTATGAATATAAAATACGAGCTATAACATTTGAAACTATATAGAAACGAGCTATATTTAAAATTTTTATATCAATTTCTAATACTTAACCCTTATTATTCACAATTTTGCATGTACTTTCTTATAATGATTATTATGTACTTTACCCAACATTATGTTTAAATTCGGGCTTATCAAATTACACTTTTTCAATGTTCTCAAGATATATTTTAGAATAGTAGGAATTAATAATGCGCTATATATTCTCATAGTTAGTCCAGCGAATTCTTTAAAATTAGCAAAGTACTAGTATATGTACTGCTAAAACATAGTTGTACTTTTTAAATTTCGTCTATATTAAAGTTCACCTTAGAGTTACTTGTAAATAAATGAAAATTTGATTCTTTTTTTATGTATTTTATATTGCATAATTTTTAGGTATTTTAACTGTAATCAATTAAAATAGCCTCCATTTCAAAAAAGAAAACAAAAAATGAAATTTTCTTTTAAAAATCTCTTTTTGTAGACAGCAGTGTAGACAGAAAGAAAAATTAAAATAAAAATTGAATTATTTGCTGTCACATTTTTTGTCTATAGTATCGTTATACAAATAGATATACAAATATATTTTGTACTAGGTCCGAGACGTACCATATTATTTCAGTTGCATCTTTTGGCGCCAACATATTAGCATTGATATTGAAATTGATATACGTTGCTTATATATTATTTGATTATATTTAGGTAATTTCAAAACCAAATTCAACTTAAAATAATTTTGAATTTTTTATACATACAGATATACATAATGTGCATTTACATTTATATATATATATATATATATATATATATATATATATATATATATATATATATATATATATATGTATAAACATATATTTTATTATTTATTTATTCTTTCTGTGGTACACTTTGAAAGAAGGCCTCATTTTAGATGGTATTTGTAATAAAAATCAGGGAGTAAATAAAAGAATATCTAATGCGTGAAAGAAAGTTAGTTTTAAAAAACAAAACCTTATATAATTTCGAAAAATATTCATTTTCCACATTTGTTGCGCAAATAATTTATATTCTGTAATATACATTTTACCGAATTCCTATAAGATATGAATTTATCAGTAACCCTTAGATCTAATATTAAATAATTGTAAAAAAATAATAAAGCTAGATGCATGAAACTTGGCAGTCATATATCTAATTTTATCTTAGACATATCGGTGAATTTTTTGTGGAATGAAGTAATTGCCATACAATCATACAACCTAATTTTAAATATTTCAAAAACAAATTTGTGAAGGTTATAATTTTGCCGCTTTAGATCAACTGAAACGTTTTTAACTGTACTTTTTAGCTCAAGAACTATATTTTAGTATATTACACTATGCAAAATAACGTGTTTGCAGTGTCAACTGCCACTAATAAATTGTTTTAATGTTACTGGCTCAAAGTGTTTAAATTGATTGACAATAAAATCCCAAAAGCAAAAGTTATGTGTAGATAAAAGCTTAATCAAAAATTGCTTAGAATTTTTTGAGCAACGCATTAATTTTCAAAATGTTATTCGAAGATTTCATAGAAAAAGTGTAAGTATAACATAAATTAACTGAATTTTGTTTTGGATCACCTTAGATCGCAATTCCTAAAAGACAAAAATATTGGAACAGAAAGTACCAGTTGGTTAGTGTGGAAGTTACATGCAATTACTATTGTACCACAAAACTTTTGTAGTAGGTTTTTTCACCGACCGCATTGTGTATACACTAAGGTAGGTTATGTGATAGCAACAAATTTTGCATATCGAGTTTTCGGTGGGAACGCACTTCTCCATGGTAGGGAAGTGTAAATAAACCATTTTTAGCAACCTGTCTGTCTGTCTGTGTATCTCAAGTTCGGCTGAACCGATTTTGAAAAAACTTTATATGTAAGTTTATGAATTTGAAAATTTTTTGGGAAGATCGGGGCTCGGGAATTGATCTGGCGGCCGATTTTACATTTTTTACCATATCTACGAATTGATAGAATTTTTGAGATTTAATATTTGTTAGAAGTTGCAAGAAGTTACTGATGAACATTTCGCATAATTCGGATGACACAAAACGATACTAAGAGCCAAATTCATATTTTTCTAGGTATGTTAACTAAAAGCTTATTAGCGTCCTTAAAATTGTAAAGAAGCGTTTAAAACGCATTTTCATAATCTTCTGGAATACTTTTACTAATCTAGTCAATATACATTGCGGTCGGTTATGTGTTGACCACATCAGATTTTTTAATTGTTATTTATTATTATATAAGTTTTTTTTGTTGTTTTCGTTAAAAAACCAAGAGCGGAAGATTACCTTAGATGTCTCCGATAAAAAAAAAGCGCTAATTGGCAATTTATTTCACGCTAAAGCTAAAACATGCATACATATTCGTATGGAATATAAGCAACATAATATTATATAATAATATTTCTAAATGCAACAAAAATATTAATAAAAATATAGAACAAATAATAAATATTTCAATAATAAAAACAAAAAATCCAAAATGGAAATGAAAGACAAATTAATGATTTTATGTTGGGGAATTTTCAAATTTATTAAAAACACCCATCAACATTTTTTAATAGAAAACAAAAAAAAAAATTATTGAGTTTTTGTAACTTAGGGAATAAATATGCGCCTAGTATGACTTAAAAACCAATAATTTTCTGTTGTCTTCTTTTAAACATTTGCCTATTTTGCAATCAAAAATATTAAATTAAAATTTATTCGTTTGATATCTATATTTAGTTAAATCATAGTAATTTTTTACTTCAAAATAAAAATTAATTCAGTGAATCAGTTTTTGGATGGACTTTTGAAAATTATTGTTATAATTTTCTTACATGTATATAATTGGATCACAAGACTAATTGAAATTCAAATTTGTTAATTCCATTTTTGGCAAGGTTAATAATAATAAAATTTGTGTAAATGAAAATAATTTTCAGTCATTCTATCAAATACACTAAAAGCTTCTCACAATGCCTGTTACTATTTTGACAATAAATACCTTTAAATTGAAAATTCTATTTTTTATTTATTTTAATTATAGAATATTATTATAAATTTTCTAATTAATTATAGATATTAATATTAGAAAATTTATATTTTTAATTGTTTATTTATTCTAATAGGGAATTTATATCATCAAATAATGTAGAAAGTTTGATTTAGTTTTGACTATTTTTCTTAATTGTCATTGAATATACTAGTAATAAAATTTACAATAAGTGTTTTCAAAAACGTAAGAATCATAGTTAAGAAAAGATTTAATAAATAAAATAAAAAAATATTTCACAAGCTCCTTCAAAAATCTCTCAATATATTAATGAGCATTGATTAAGAAATCAAGTAAATAATTATAAACCTGATGTTGGTGTGCGATATTGTCGAGTGAAATATCGAGCAACACAAGATTTCCATCATATGCAATTTCTTTCTAAAAAAGCAAATATGTAAAACCAGAGAATGTATGTCATCACTGGTAGAATATAAAATTAACTTTTTACTAGTATTTTGAATTATGCTAACTGTAATCGTAACTATATTTTTAGTTGAATCACAAGTACTGTTTTTATTAAATTTTATTTTTAGTTGAAGTACCAAGTACTGTGATTGTGCGTACATATTTATTAATTTTATACAAAAAACCGTTAGGAAAGTAATATTTTCCTATATCATTTTAAATACATCCTATGATCATCCCTTAACTTTATTCATATTAATGTTCAAATGACGAGTAAGTTAAGAAGGAAGAATTATTTACTATTCTTTTTGATTAAGTCATTAAAAATGAAACATTTATGTGATTAGAATTTACTGAAAGAAATCAAGAAATTTTGAAAGACGATGACCCGCTGCAAATCAATTAAGGAAAGATTTCCGATTTTCAACACCGTCACGAAGCCTTTGATGTCTTTAAAGATGTTTTAACCAGCCTCTTATACTTACTTGTACTAATTTTTGTTTTTTAACATCTAAGAAGTAGGAGTTTTTATATTTAATCATACAATTCATGACCTAATTAAGTTTTTCCATATTTATTATTAAACTCATAGAGTATTGCATTCAATTTCCATCATATCTCTGTTTTAATATTCAAACAACTTGTAATAATGTTTTTAATTTACATTTTTCAAGGTACATGCATTAAACTTTTATTATCCATTGAGGAATAAAGCTTTACCTAAAAGTAGTAAAAGATTCATTTGTAAATCGATTTGGTTTCTTTCTTCATATTTTTATTTGTTTTATATTCAATAAAGTCAACCAACTGGATTTGAAATTGAATTTAATAGTTTCTTTCAAAAATTTTGTCTCATTATTGCATTTTTTCTGTTATTTTTACTTTTCTTTTACATATTTACATAGGTATTTATCTGAACTATTGTGCACTTGATTAAAAAATATGACAAATATAAATAGCGTGCATTTAAAAAACTTCAATCAGTTCATATTTTTAATTCGTGACAAAACAACTAGTTCGTTTAACTAGATAACACTTTTTTTTTCCTTCACTCAACACTAAATTTGAGGATGCGTGGATTACTTGTAATAATTGGAATTATTAAAGGATATCATTTTATTTATAACTTTCTTTCTACTCTCTTCTAAAGGTATTATTTTTCATAGCTGCAGCGTATGCTGCCCCACAATATAGCTATGATCCAAATACTGATGAACAAGTTGCATCAGCACAACCAACTGGTAGCCTACACACACCCCCAGCAATTTGGAATAAACAATATTTTATTCATTCTGCACCTGATGATTCATTGGATACTGACGGTTTAAGTAGTAGTCAACAGCCAAGTAGAAGAAATTTAAGAATTGTTATCGTTAAAGCACCAGAGAACAAAGGATTAGAAAATGCGGCATTACAGTTGGCCAAATCTGCCAGCGATGACAGAACTGCTATTTATGTTCTCAATAAACAAACTGATTTGGCTGAACTTCAAAATAAATTATCACAACTTACTGACCAAAATGCTCACAAACCAGAAGTACACTTTGTCAAATACAAAACACCAGAAGAAGCAGAACATGCTCAACGTGCAATTCAAAATCAATATGAATTATTACAAGGCCCTTCGTCAGTATCGCACGAAGGAATTGCACCAGTCAGTAGCGTTATTGGTGCATTGGGACGATCGAATTCAAATGGTTATTTACCACCAGTTTCGTTCAGATTCTAGATGCACACAAGGAAAAAAAATATTTAGTTATTGTACCTTATCTTTTAATTACTTTTTAGTTATTAAGTGTTATAAAATTAAAAGACTTTTTTCGTTGAAATTTGTTATAAAAAAAATTTATAAAATTAACAATAAAAGACAAAAAATTTTAAAAATAAAGACCGCTTATTTAAAAACTAAATGCAATAAGGACGGTTTATCTAAATCGGTTTATCCAAATTTATATTGAAGCAGTAAAAAATTAAGTTTGAAACTAAATGTTTTGTGAGCTTTGTTATTGTGGTTATTGCTCAATTAAGGATAACTTCAAAAAAAACTTTTAGACATTAATTCTGAAATATGCTGCAATAATATTAATAAACTTAGTCATATTAACCACGACACCAAATTAGTCCCGCGAAATATGCAAATTGCATTTTCTTTCTGATTTTTAAATTTCACATTAACGCACACTTTTAATACACAAATGTAAACCTTTCATTATTTTTACATATTATGTTGACCCAAGTTTTCTTGCGTAACACCATATAAGCCATAAGCTTTTATTTCAAAATAGTGCATTATAAAATCTTGCATCAAATTTTTTCAGTCGTTTTGCTATGTATAAAATATTCAAAATTAGGCAGGTATTTAATGTAATTTACATAAATATTTCTTACTTATTTAAAAGCATATTTTGTTATATCATTTTTAATAAAAATGCAATAACATTTTCTACATTTACAAGCATGAATAAAATAACAGTTTACTATGTATACACAAGTGCATGTAAGAGTGTGTTAGTCAGTTTTCAATATGTAAGTGGTTGTGTGGGCATTTAATTAAATGGTCACTAATATGGGCATCTCATATATTTATATTATACTTTAATGTACTTATTATCTACTACTTTCTACTTCGTTAATAAATTGTAATTTATTGATAAAAATCGGATTTGGTTCAGTTATTCCTTTACATTAAATTATAAAAAAGTCCTTTAAACACTTCTTTAAAATCTTTACTTTTTTTAAGTTTGTCGATTAGTTCCTTAGTAACTCAGTTGATCTGTTAGTAATCAGAACTCTCATATCAAATTTTGAAATTCCGTCAATTAGTTCCTGAGATATGGTTAAAAATGTAAAATAGACCTCTAGTGGAAAATGTCAGCTCATATTTTTCTAAAAAATTTCCAAGTTTATTGTTAGAACTAGCCTTAATGTATAAATTTTCAATAACATAGGTTAATTATTTTTTTATACGTAGACGGAAGTGTAAATATTGAAATAGAAAATATAGTCATTTATATTTGAATTTTATATTTGAATATAGTAAAATTGTAGTTGCTGGCACTTGATTTTTTGTCACACAAAGCTTATTCAAATACAAAATTTCAGATAGACACTTAAACCACCAGATAGACAGTTTTTCTACCACAGAGAAATTTGTAAGAAAACTTAACATGTGAAATTTCCTTTTGAAAACTTAACATATGAAATTATGGCACTATTATGCATACGCTCCCTAATATATGTCCCTAATAAGTACGTTTATCTTCCTATCTCTTGCCGTTTTTGCGTTACCCATATCATAATTATATTTTAAATGAAATTATACATTTGAGTTAAAATTTGTCAAACAAAAATCCAAACAATTGCTTAGAAAATAATCAACATTAAGCAATTCCGAAAAAAAAATCAAAGTTCGCTAATTGAAAGAATCATCGAAGATTAATTTTGCTTTGATTGTAGTTTATTGTGATTTCCAATGACATCTCAATATTTTTCTAAATACTACGTTTTTCATAAACACAAATAAATTAATTCAAATTTATCAAAAAGTCTGCAATGAAGATATCAAAAGCAAATCAGAAGTCGATTAATATTTTTTGTGGCATATTTCTCATCCAATAATTTGAATATTCACCGGTAGCATACATTTATGTTTAGTTTTATGCTTAATAGAGGAAAACGTTAATGCCAATGTACGTCATGTTGTTCCGAATTAAATTAATTGAAACAAAAGATTATAAAATAAAAATTAATCTATTCAGCAAAATCTCCCACACTATGACTTTTTATTTTATTTGACAACAGTCTAAAAACCTTGATAAGCTTTCGATCAGATTTTATGATAAAAATTTTAAACAATATCAAATCAATTCAAAACTCTGTAATCAGGAAGAATTCAAAAAATTGAATAGCTTATTTATTATTTAATGCTCGCTTGAAAAATGACATGATCATGAAAATTATTTAATTTAAGGAATTTTTTAATAGCCATAGTCTATTTCATTTAAAAGGAATAATATCCTTTTACACACCCGTAAATATAAGTATGAATCGTGCGACCGCATCTATATTTTATGTTTATGTGTATATGGAAATAGATTCTTACATACATCGACTTGGCAACCTATGCATATAGGTTATTAAACATATTCTGGTACACATTTAAATTCAAATAAAATTTGCACATTAACGCGGTCCAAAATAGAAAAAAATCAACAAGAGAAAATTTTTTAAATATTTTTTTGAACATTATTATAAATTTAACCTTTTCCTTTAAGTCCTACTAGAAATTTTGGAATTGTACAGATTTAGTTTTTATTATTAAAAAAAATAAATAAATAAATGCTCTTTTTCTCACTTTTTTACATACGTAAAAAAATCAGAAAACTTGGCAATTTAAGTTGTCGATTTTTCAGTAAATTAATTAATATGTCAATAAAAATAACAAGCCAAAAAAAAATCGTCGTTGCCAAAAAAAATATTGTTTTTCACAGTATTCATGTTTTACTTTGCGAGTGTTATCAAATCAAATGAATGGTAATAACTGTTTTTTCATTTTCAATTTTTTCAAATGCATACCATGTTCTTTCTATTAGATCAGAAAAAAGCACATAAGGTAAGCACATAACCGACCGCAATGTGTATTTTCTAGTTAAGTGTTACAGAAGATTATAAAAATGATTTTTAAACACTTCTTTCCAATTTTTAGGGCGTTAGTAAGTTTTTAGTTAACATACCTTGAAAAATATAAATTCGGCTTTTAGTAAAGTTTCGTTTTGTGCCGAATTCGCTGAAAAGCTGACCAGTTAATTTTGATAACAACCACAGCTCAAATATCCAATTTCAAAAAACACCATCAATCAGTTACGTAGATATGAAAAAAAATATAAAGTCGGTCCCCAGTTTGGCTTCCTAGCTCCGATCGTTCCAAAAATTTTATATGTTAATTTCAAGGAAATTGTTGATTATTTCTCTTTATATGGGCAAAAATCTAAAATTAGCCCGCAAAAAAGTCCAGTTCTCAAGGCCTGATATATTTCAAAAACTGATAAATCCGCGACATATCCAGAACAAACTTATATGTAAATGAAAATCGATTCAGCCGAACTTGTTACGTGTGCACACACAGACAGACAGGCCGACACCTCTCTAAAAAAAGCTTATTTACGCTTCTCTGCTATGGAGAAATGTGTTCCCACCGAAAATTCTATATGCAAAATTTGTTTCCATCGCCTAACCTCTCTTATTGTATGCAATGCTGTTGGTACAAAGAAATAAATAAAGTTTGGACTTACTTTAATTTAAGTTTGAAACAATGTGAAATGCATAATTTATATTATTTAATTGAATAGGATTAACTTTCACGTGTTTTTTATAGATTCCTAAAAAATAGTAACAACAAAACTTGATTTTATAATTTATGGTATCTTTATAAAAGGTTTTCTATAAAATTTCTGATTTTTGAAAAGTTCTAACTACTTATAGTCTATTTTATCTTCTTAACCTCATTTAGCACACGAATTTTTCCTTTAAAAATTTGTAAACGTTTTCCTCATTCTGAGAAAAGTTTTAATAAAAATCGTTTAATTAAACTTTTTTCATATTTAATTTTCCCGGGGGTCCCCTCCTTTAGGTATTCCTAGTGATCGCGAGTGACCTAATGATAAGGTTTAAAAAGAAACCTAAAAAAATTTATTCAATTCGCGGCTTTCATTTTATAGCATAATAGAATAAAAAAAAACTTGAAAAATTTCTTTTAATTTTCTCACCAGAAATTTTAAAAATTTTTTTTTAAATCATTTCGGAAGTGTTCCAAACACCTTGCCAAAATTTCGTGGTAAACAGATGTGCGGCTTACTAATAAAAGATTAGTTACACAATATTTTTCATTTTTGTATAATATTAGATATACATAGATATATGGATAGAAAAGATAGACACATACATATATATGTAGATCGCAACAGAAATGTTTATAGAAAATCTATTGAGAAATCAGATGAGAAATGACGAACGCGCTTATAATTAGAAACATTTAACTTTTGCACGTACTTTTTTTTTTGTCTTTCTAAACAAAATAACTTCCTGTTTGTGATAGTTCCATTAATAAATCGATTAAAGAGAACTTCCAATTCGATAACATTCTTCGAAACAAAAAAAAGTTAATAATTAAAGCAAACAAAATCAAAATTAAACAAAATTTTTAATCACATGTTAACGTGTTTTCGAATTTTATTTTGAATCTAGTGTTAATTAACATTTTTTTTTCTTGTTATACAAGCATTATACATATTTTCATATAAACACGTACTATGCATACCACAGGTGTATTAAATGTTAAAAAAATATGTTACAAACACAAATTCAAACGTAAAGTATAAAGGAATACTTGAATAGTATGTATTTCAAATTTTGCTTTCAGGAGTAGGTTTTTTCTAAGTAAATAAATGGCACTGTATGCATAATGAAATAGCTATGTGATTAAATTCACAAATCTCAATTTAAAATTGCTCACTTGTTCTTTTATTTCTTCAAAGTACAAAAAGTCAGTCCTTGGTCAGGATGCTCAGTACACAGGTACATTCTATTTGTTGTAAAAATATTCAGAAATGAAGCATGTGAAGTGATAGAGAAATGGCTTTTCTTATTTGGTTCCAATTATTCAGTTCAAAAAATTTCACAAGGCATTGAATAAATAATTTTTCATAACGACTGGGACAATCGAAATATATTTTCTGGTAATTAATTAGACGTTGTACACTTAACAGATTTTTGTAAACTGCAGAAATTACAGGAAGTTGATTACAAACCTTATGCCTGAAATCACAAACAGCTGCTCTACAAAACGTAAAAATATAAAAATGAGTATTTGTTTCCAAGAGGATAGTGAGCAAACTGATTCCTAGATCAAGGTGTAGAAGAAAACTTCGTCTTCTTAGATTTTTTTATGAATTCTATTTTTACATTTTCGATACTGAAATGCACTTTTAGTATTTTAAAATGCAATTTTCTTTTTTTTCTATTCTAAAAAATCACCTTTCAAAATCTTTACCAAAGATAGTATCTTACTTTAATATTTCAATTTAAACGGTTATTCAAACAAACATGCAAATTTTTGACATTGGTAATTGCTTTATACACAACCAGTTTATACTGAATTGTAAATATATAAATTAAAAGAATATCAACGTTATATCAAAAAGACCAAGCTTAAAAAATTATTACACAAAGAAAGGGCTAATAATTTTTTACCGTAGGTCAATGTTAAGTCAACTTTTTTTTAATACAACCAATATTTTAAAAATTATTTTTACAAATCAATGTAGTTAATTCGAGGTAAAAATGAAAAAAAAACCACAAAACTTCAATTAATTTTACAACAATTTATATGATAATTCTGATTCATAACCTTACCATAGTAGAAAAGTGTTCAACAACTTTTAAGTAAGATTTTTAAATTGATATTTAGGTATAAGCTTACTTATTTTCGTCTAGGTCGTTAATTAACAAATAAAAAAAAATATCAAATGACAAAAAAACATTAAAACATAACAATAGAATCAAAGAGATGATATTAATTTTTTCAAAAACTTTTGCATATTATAATTTGTTAAATAAAAATAATAGACGGAACCCTTCCAAATTAACTGCTTACTTAACAAATGAAAACAGCAAACAGAAGCAAAAAATACAAAAGACCGATCAAAATTTACGCCTACAAAAACGCTAATGCTGACCTATACCAACATGCGTTAACGCAGTATCAAATATCCAAAGTAGAGCTTTAAAATGCATTTTTTCTTTTATAAGCTTTTAAAAACATATCTTCTTGGTATTCACATGTATACAGCTATAATTATGTATCAATTTGTATTGTTTTAAAAATTTAACCAAATAACCAATCAATAATTTTCATATGAAATTAACAAAAAAAACCGACTAAGATGTTATTTGATTAATTTTGAATTAAATAAATACCGAACATTTCAAATAATTTAATCAGTTCACTTCTTCAGGTCGTAACAAAACAATCGGTTTAACACTTAAACGTATAGAGTGTGTTATTGTGCGTGTATCAAATTTCATAAATTAATTTTGGACTATGCGTGGATTTATTGTAAATAAACTGCAACACATTTATAAATTAATTAAAGCAATAATGGATTACGTAAATTTTAATTTTATTTTTTCTATTTGTCTTATTAAAGGTATTATGTTTTATTGCTGCAGCATATGCGGCTCCACAATACAGTTATGATCAAGGTGCTGATGCTCCAGCTGCATCATCACAACAAGGAATAGCTGCAGCACCAGCTGGTCCATCTGGACCATCTCTTTGGAATAAACAATATTTTATTCATTCTGCACCTGATGATTCACTAGATGCTGATGGTTCTAACCCAGCCAATTCATTAGTTAATAGAAGAAATCTTAGAGTTGTTATTGTTAAAGCACCAGAAAACAAAGGATTAGAAAATGCTGCTTTACAATTAGCCAAAGCTGCTGGAGAAGATAGAACTGCAATTTATGTACTCAACAAACAAACTGACTTGGCTGAACTTCAAAATAAATTATCACAAATCACTGATCAAAATGCCAACAAACCAGAAGTACACTTTGTCAAATATAGAACACCTGAAGAAGCTGAACATGCTCAACGTACAATTCAAAACCAATATGATCAATTACAAGGGCCAACATCAGTTTCAAATGAAGGAATTGCTCCAGTCAGTAGCGTTATTGGTTCATTGGGACAATCAAGTCCAGCTTATGACATTGGTGCTGCTAGAGATGCTCGTACTCAAAACGGTTATTTACCACCAACTTTAAAATTCTTTAAACGTATTTAAAGAGAACGAATTAAAAATAAAATATTTTAATTTAAGTTGTTGAATCCTTTGATATATTTCTTTGGAAATAATTCAAATAATTCATTGTTACTGTTATTTAAATTAAAGGATATATAAAATAATTGTTAAAATTTTGTTTTTAATTTATATATCGTATATATAAAAAAGTTAATATTTTTACCAAAGAACAATGTGTTTCATTAATTATTATTTCTTAATACTTACTTCATTATTGACATGCCACCTTACAGTTGTTTGCAAATTTGAACTAAAAAGAAAAATTATTCAAAGAATTTATTTTGGAGGGTCATAAGATCTGGAATATTATACAAAATATGCAAATAAATAAATAAAACAGAAATCTTTTCAGTTGGCTTTAATCGATTAACTTATACTCTGCACCTTGAAAATCTGAGTATAAAAACAGATATCGAGTATAAGAGCAGATAAATAGATGTAAATATTATTTTTGAAATCTTTAGAGTTAGCTTTCTTGGTTGAATTACTCGAACTTGTCAAACTATTCGATAAAAACTTCACAGATATGTTTGACGTATGATTGGGCACATGATTACACGGTTAATGAATTAACTTTACTACTTTTACGAATATTTAAAATTAGCTTTTTAAAATTGTGCGGCATTTGCTTGAAACCGTGTAGCCATTTCATTAATATATGCAGAATATACATATTTTAATTATAATTGGACATACGTTTACAAAAGTTCTTATTAATATGTGCCTTTGATAGTTTTGGAAGTATTTAAAATAATTTCTTTAAATTGTATGGCAGAATCTCGAACCCGTTGTCCGAATCTGTCCAAATATAATAGTCCAAGTTTGATACGGTTTGGTGTGTTCATTTTTGAGTCATCCTACGACAAACCGGTCAAACATGTCTAAATCAACGTCAAATAATTAATTTTTCGTTTGCAAACTCTATACCACATTAATATAAACTTCACGAAAGCGCAGAGTAAAAATACATATGTGAATAAAATTTAAAGATAAGTTTTAATTCCAAAAAGTAGAAATTCAAGCACTAAAAATGAAATATTGGCATATTTTATGTATAGATTATTAATTGTTAACTAATTATATTACACTGAAAATATAAATAAATATAATAATGAATACTAAAATATTTAGCTTGTAAAGATGTTCAAACCTTTAAAATATTGTTTTCTCCGTGTATTGCAAATTTTCAATCAATGTACAGAATCAGGATTTAAATTTCATACTTAAATTCAATCTAAGATAAACATTACAAGTTTAAAAATTTGAAATCAGCTAATAAAGCACTAGTACACTTTATAGGCAGCACCTATGAAAAGTAATACTTGTTATACCCTGCACCTCCGTGAAGGGTATTTTAACATTGGAATGGAGTTTGTAACCACTTGAAAGAGTCATTTTCGGTATGGACTTGTATATAAAGGGTGATTCAGAAAGTTATATAACAACATATACCATTTGTTAGAAGGTCGAAAATGGGTAAAACTTTTGTTCCGGACTAGATGCCAAATGTCAATGGTTTCCGCGTTCCTGGGATTGTAAAGCATTTTCACAAAATTTTTACTTACTCAGGTTTTTTTTATTATAACTTCGCTGCTGAAAAAGATAAGAACTTCAAACAAACAGTTTCTGAAAGGTCTAGTAAAGGGCTTAAAATAGACATGCTGTTTGATTTTGTATTTTGTGTACCTTCGGAATACCAAACATTCGAACTTTTAAGAAAATAAAATTTCTCCCTTGATTTTTTCAGTTTTTTCTAGCTAAAGAATTTCGTAAAAAATTTTTTAAAACCTTGAAATTTTTTTTTATAGAATTTTGTCCAACTGCTTAAGCTTTAATGTAAGTCCTCAAACATTAAAAAACTTTTTATATTACAGAAGAAATAGCAAAAAAACTATTTCTAGTCAAGATTTTAAAGGGCCTATTTTTCACTATTTTTGATTTTTATTGATTTTAAACGCTGCAATTATCAACTATTATTAATTTTTGATGACAAAAGTTCATGACATTTTTATGAGCCGTTATTTTGATAAAAAATCTGAATTTCAATGTTTTTATTGAAATGTGACAAATTAGAACAAATTGAAACGAAATTTTATTCAAACATTTTAATTGAAAAACAAAAATTGATTTTAAAAATTTTGAAATTTTTGAAAAGAAAAACTAGAATTTTGTATTACGAAAAACAAAAAAAAATCTAGTAATCAAAAAATTTTTTTCGAAACTTTTCTTGGTAAAGAAAATTGATAGGTTTTTTATTTTTGCCAGTTTTTATAAGAAATGGTACCTATATGGTTTGAAATTTTTAAATGCATTTTTCTCAGATTGGGTGCAATTTAAAAATTTGAAAAAATAATTTTCGAAATCTAGACACCATTTGGCATCTGAATTTATTAAAATTAACAAGCTGGAGCAAATTTTTTAAAGACACGTCATACAAAATTTGAAATTTATTTAAATAGAAAAATTTTTTTTAATAGGAAAATTTAATTTTTTTTTACAAAATGGAGTTTTAAATAATATGGTATTAACATTATGAAGCTAATAAATAATTTAATGGGATTAATAAATTTCAAACATATTTCTACAAAAACTAAATTGGCATACACTGTAAAAAAAAATCGTGTAAAATTACTACAATAATACTAGGAATCTGAATTCCTAGTATAATTGTAGTGAAAATGCTCGACGATAGTAAAATATTACACCGTCGAGTAATTCACAAATTTTACTTTTTTGTAGAGTAAATTTTTTACTAGATTATAGAGGAAATTTACTTTAGAAAATAGAACAAAAATTACTCTTCGATGAGTAATAATAATCTGAACTAATAATTTTAATTTTCGGTATAGTATTTTACATTCAGGTATAGTGATTTATTCCTCCTGTCAAAGGAGTAATTTACTTCACTATAGTAGAAGATAATACTCTTTGTTCGAGTAATATTGCGTCATTTTTATCTTTCAGCATTTTTAATGAACTGTAAATTGCTTATTGAAATTTTACAAATATTATGTATTCTAATATTTATGTAAAAATTTTCGGCACTGGAATATTATAAATGGTTTTTTTACATAAAAAAGAGCAATTAAAAAATTTTTAGGGTTTTAACATACTAACTTTAGTTGAAATATTTAAAACATTACCTTTTTTGTACATCTTACACATTTTGCAATTTATTTAAAAAAATTGAAAAATTTTAATATTTTACTTAAAACTAAAACATTTTACAAAATTAAAAAGATTCAAAACTAGATATTAAATCAAACTTATATAAATAAAAATTTTTGTTTTATTAAATATCTTGACATTTATGTAAATATTTTAAATTTTGACTCTGTAAAAGTATGTATTTCAAGCTTTATTCTTATGATCAGTTATATATATTAAAATAATCATTTTCTCAAATTGCAGATGAATTTATATAAATGATGAATTAAAATTAAATTTAAAATATAATACTGTTTTTAAATTTAATTTATCTATCATTTAAAGAGAATATCATTAGCAAAAGTAACTATCTTATATTTATTAACTATCTATCACATTCTTTTAAATTTTTTAAAGCCAAAAATCTAAATATTTTTTCATTTTAGTTAGAGTTGGTTTAATTTCTTTATACAATTTATAATTTTGCTCATATTAAAAATTATTTTTTTAGAACCTCTTAAGAACCTCTTTTTTTTAGAAACCAAGGACCATTCGTCGGAATAGATATAATGATAATCTAACATCGTGGTTCCAAACTGTAAGAAAATTAAATTTTATTTATGCCATTATATATGGAATATATTTACCTTAAATTTCATGTAAAGCAAATTAATTCTTTCTTTGAATTATTCAAACTATAGCATTGAATGTAGACTCACTCCCTCTTTTTCTTTGGAATTCTTTACAATTTGGTTTATTTCAGCTTTGTTTTTTTCAAAATTCATTATAAAAGTGTTTGCATTTAAATTCATCAGCAACAAAACAGAAGAAAAAAATGTAATTTCCTTTTTTTTTATTCATAAATTTCAAATTTTACCTGCACTTTTATTTTGCACTTGAAAGTTTTATATTAAGTTATTATATTTTATATATATATAATTTAAACAATTAATTTAATTTTATTATTTTTTAATATACTTAATTTTCATATTTTTATTGAAATCACTTTAAAATTTAAACTTATGAATTTATATATTACTCTAAACACAACCTCAATCTGATCCCTTTCTATTCAAACTGAGAAGAAATTCAAAAATAATGACTTGGTCAATAAAAGTTACTTTACAAAATAGTAATATGTCATAAAATACTTCGTAAGAAAGTAAAATCACTTTCACAAAGAAAATTTTACTCTACTTTGAAGTAATTTTCAACTTGATCTATGATTATTACTGTCTTTCAGAGTAAAATTACTATATAGCATTAATATTCCTTGATTTTGTTGTAAATTTACTCGCTAATCGAGTAAACTGCAAAATTACTCTCAAATCGAGTAAAATTTAATATGCCATAGCGTATATACTGCATTAATTGTAGTAAGAATTACTATGTTTTTTAGCAATTTTGCATACATTTTTTACAGTGTACGGTTGATGCAACTAAAGAGGTGTTCCGGTAAAGCAATTTATTTAAAATATGCGATTGAATATGAATAGAAATATGAATAGAAATTATTAAATATGAATGGAAATAGATTTGAAAGAAGAAACACATAAATTCATCTTGCTTGATTTTAATTGAATTTGTGGCTCACAATTTTTGTGGAAATACATAATAATACTGCTTGATTCTGTATTTTTCACATAAAATACAGAATCAAGCAGTATGTCTATTTTAAGCCCTTAACTAGGCCTTTCGGAAACTGTTTGGTTGAAGTTCTTATCTTTTTCAGAATGGAAGTTATAATCCAAAAAACTTGGATAAATAAAAATTGCGTGAAAATTCGTTAAAATCCCTGGAACTCCGAAACCCTTGAAATTTGGCACCCAGTCTGG